CTCGCTGATCGGGCGGTGGGGCTGGGACTGCGAGCTGGCTGGCTCCGGGCCCTTGGTTGGCGCTTCTCAGCAAGGCCACCTGCCCGTCCTTCACGCACGGCCTCACCCTGCGCTCCCCTGCACTCCCGCTTCTCGGAGGGGCTCTAGTGGGGGGTGTGACCAGTCGCTTTAACCTGCGTAGTCCGGGGTGTTGATGGAAAACGCTGAACAGAGACCCCATGCAGCAGCCAGCCCCATTCTCAGTCAGCAGCTTAGCCAGCACCTCTTCTGAGTAGTATCCCAGGGACAGAGGAAGTTGGGTGGTGGCTAGTGCCTGTCCCTAAATTGCTTTGCATACAGTACATCTGGACTCTTATGCCTTTATTTAAGGTGCCGTTTCCTACTTGTTTGCGTGCATCTCCAAATAGTAGAGTTTTATATTTTTAATTAGAAAGCAAGCAAGGCCCTGCACCTGTCTAACGAACTTGTAGTTGAGGTTGAGAGTTGTATGTTCTCCTTATCCTGAAGGGATTGGTTCTTTAGGACAGTGATCTCTAGATTTTTTTTTTTATTTGCACACCCCTTTCAGGAAAAAAAAAATTAAGATATTGGTTCTCTAGGACAGTGGTCTCTAGACTTTTTGGATTGCACAATGCTGTCCATAAAGAAAAAATTAAGCATGCACTCCCAATATATGTATGTTTATTTATAAATTATATGCATGTCCTGCAGTACTAAAAATTATTTATATTATCAAACTTGCATAAAAATATAAATTTTAAAGGGGCAAGATAAAGATGAAATAATATATGGTCCCAGAGTCATTAGGGAGCCACTGGAACTTACTGAGTTGAGGAAAATTATTGGGTAACTGTGTGGAAGATAGATTCAGTGAGGAGAGACCAACTAGGAAATTATTTCAATAATCCAGTCTAGAGGTGAAGAGTGCTTCAACTAAGCTGGTAGTTTTATTAAGAGAAATGTAGAGGTAAAAATGACAAGACTTACCAACTGATAAGATCAGTCGAGTGAGGGAGAGTGAAGATTGGAACAAGACACAAAGGTGACTTGGAAGGATGCGATAATCCTTCCCTAGTGATTTCTGCCCAGGCCACTTAGGGACAGAGGATGGATAGGCTGGTGGAGTGGAGTAGTGGTGAGAACTTTGCAGTAGCACCTGAATACTTGCTGCTATGGGTTCTGGGTGGTTAGATGATAACTTCCCAGAGGGACCTATGCGGGGCTCAGAATTGGGGAGGTTGGAGAGGAGTGAGGGGGCAGATAGGAGTGTGTGGGGGTAGGGGCAGATGTGATTGTGTTGGAAATAAGCCCCATAACTTACTCTGGGAGAAGTGTGGAATGTGATCAACCCCTCTCATCAGCTGATCCCATACTTTTTGGAGTCCAGCCACAGCCCCCACTTTGGAGACCATTGCTCTAGGAGGATGGGAATGGATGTCTAGAGTGAATTTATAGAATTTTTAGCCCTCAGTACCCATAGAGTAGCTAAGCAATGACACCAGAAGGCCTAGGCAAAGGGAATAGGCATAGGTAAGGAAAAAGAATAATAAGAGATGAAAAGGTAGAAGGAATGGGTGGAATTGGGATTTGTAAGAGAGAAAAAAAAAAGGGACCTGGGTTGGGTAGTGATAGAAGACTAGCCCCAGAGACTTTGCTGAAAGTTCGAAGTTGATTTTACAGGTAACTATCAGCAGTGACCTGGTTATAGCAGTGAGTCTATTCCAGCTTGATCTTGAGCCAGGTGTCACAAACTAATATTAATTTTTGAACTGGAAAGAGACCTTAGATATCATCTCATCCGATTTGTCTGTTTTAGAGATAAGGAAGTTGAGGTCCAGGGAAATGTGACTAGCTCAAGGTCACACAGCAAGTTCTTGGCGTAGATGGGACAAAAAAAATCAGGGCTCCTGACTCCCCTCTCTTTGTGCTCATTTCCTGAATCAGTTCCCAATGGATGCAGAGGGGAAATGAGTAATTGAGGGGTGTGTATGTGTGTGGAATGAGGCAGATTAAGTCAAAGATGAGAGTAGACAATGTGTGGGAAACTTTTCCTTCTGCATTACACCAAGTCTCCTGTCCGTTAGTGAATAATTCCTAGCTGATCACTTGTGGGGATTTAATCCATTTAGTCTCTAGTATAGCACAACATATGGGCTCCTCAGGTTTTTCCAGACTTTACATTTGGGATATCGATTGTTCAAAGAATTCCTTCGTTTTTGTTTTTCCTTTTAAAATTTTTCTTCCCTCTTATTGAATCCTATGTAGGGAAAATGTGGTATTCAGGATATGTGGGTAGATGAATAGTGGAGCTACGGGAGGCAGAATTAAGTGAGTCAGCTTGCAAGAACACTAGGGCTCAGGGGATCCAGATTCGAGTTGCCCTTTGGAGAGGAGAGAATGAATAAGAGAATAAGCATTGATATAGCACCTATTTTGTGCCAGGTACTATGCTAAGCGCTTTACAAATATTACCCCATTTGATTCTCACAACAACTCTGGGAGGTAGATGCTATTATTATCCCCATTTTACAGTTGAGGAAACTGAGGCAGACAGAAGTTCAGTGACTTGCCCAGGGTCACACAGCTAGTTAGTGTTGGAAGCCAAATTTGAACTCTGGTCTTCCTGATCAAGGCCCAATACTCTATCTGCTCACTGCATGAACAGAAAAGGAGTTATTGATGAATGAAAACTAATCCATTAAGCACTTACTGTGTGCCAAGCACTGTGATTAAATGCAGAGGATCCACATACAAAAATGAGATGATTCATTTCCTCAACAAGCTCACATTCCAGTAGGGAGAGAAAACACGTAAGGGAGTCGTGGCTTATGGGGAGTTGTTTTTGTTTCTAAAGTCACCAGGATAGTAAGTAGATCCATGGGGGAGCTGATCACAGAAACAAAATCAATAGCAGTGGCTTCATCAAGGCTTCATCAACTTCATTTCCTTTTTTTAAAGGTCTAGCCTAGGGGAGTCAGGGAATACTGTAGGTATAGTTAACCTAACTTCTGGAATGCAGCCCATCCTTGGGCCACAGTCCATATCAAGACACATCCTGTACCTACATCCTCTCAGTGTTCCCAAGTCCACCAGCCAGGACCTCCTCATTCTTGGGAGCTTTGTTTATTTTGGGGGGAGGGGGTGATACCAAATCTTTGCCCATTTAGAGCCCTTTGCTGAGAGGCTGCCCCTTTTCCCATGAGGTCTGATTAAGAACTCTTATTGTCATCCAAGGATTCAGGATTGCTACTGAGTCAGCCAGGATCCTTTATTTGTTTTGTTTTGTTCATTTTCATTGGCTGTCTTCCATTTCTGGAATTCTCTCCTTTGTCTTTACCTCCTGGCTTTATTCAGGTCTCAGCCAAAATCCCACTTTAAGTGAAAGGTTTTTCCTGATTCCTCCTAAAACTAGTGCCTTCCCTCTGTTAATTTCCTCGAATTTATCCTGAACACATCTTGTTTGTACATAATTGTTTGCATGCTATCTCCTCCATTAAATTGTAAGCTTCTTGGAGGCTAGGACTTATTTTGTCTTTTTCGTTATAAGCTTCTGGCACACAGTAGACACACAGTAAATGCTTATTGGTTCATTACAGTTATACAGAGACCTCCCTCAGATGATTAGAGCCAGGTACTTTCCAACAATAGCATCCCTGGTCCCCAGGCTATTTGTGGGAAGGAGTTGTCCCAATCATCCTCAGGAAAAGGAGACCAACCCAAAGAAAGGTTCCTGGGTCATTTCCCCAGAGTGTATGGCACTCTCTGAGGGGACCGGGACCTCAAGATTTGGGTAACTCTGTGGCAGAAACGGAATAAGTAAGGTTTGGAGAGGGTCAATGAGAACTGTCCAGAAGCAGTCTTTATCAAATAAGTCTTGCTGGAGTCTAGTTCCAAAAAACCACTGAACTAGTGTCTTCTGCCTTCCTAGGGTGGTGCTGATTCATCATAGACATGGCTTCTGAGAGGTGTGACACCCAGTCCCAGTTAGGGTGTGATGAGAAAACTGTGGTTTAGCAGGGGCAAACTTTTAGCCCTGTGATGGGGGAGGAGAGCCTGTTTGCCAGTTGGAGGCAGGTCAAAGACCATATAGAATGTTGTCTTTGGCATGAGCATCTCTGCTGGGCATATTCATAGAGATCATATCATCCAACCTCTTCATTTTATAAATAGGGAACTGAAGTTCAGAGAGATCCTGTCTTGCGTAAGGCAAAGCTGCTAGTGAGTGGAAAACCTGAGATCTGAACTTGGGTGAAGTGTAGCCTTTCTTACAAGAAAGGTCTTCAAGTCCCTCAGGTTATGTACCATAAAGAGCCCCTTGGCACACGGACTTCATTGGTCATCACAATTATAGACATCCTGGTAATTTAGGGAGCTCTACAAGCGGTTTTTCCTTCTACAAGTAATGTTGCAAGCCATATTGTTCCAAACACATAAACTTAATGAAAGGTTAGTGTTGGAAGCTCAAGGGGTTGGGAAAAAAAGGAAATGAGGCAGAAAAAGGAATTTGAGGAACATTTTGAATCAGAGAATTTTGAAGATCATCCAGTCCAACCCTCTCACTTTCCAGATGAAGAAGCAGACCCTCAAAATCGAAGTGACATCCTTAAAGTCATATATTAAGTTAGTGGCAGAGCTGGAACTAGAACCCAGTTCTCCTGATGTCCAATTAGCATTCATATTTTTAGGTCATTTGTATTTTAAAGGTCATTATTCTGGGACAGTTTTGTCTTTTTTTTTCCCCCCTTCATTAGCCATATAGTTAACAAGGTGCCCTTGTGGTCTAATCTGGGTACAGATCTTTTTTTCAGGGTTTTAATTTTAACTTTTTGTTATCCAGAACTTGACAACTATCAACAGACATGAACATTTACATATAGAAGAATCGAAAGAGGAGGATCGTATATGAAACTGTGAATCTCTGATCTGTATCTCTTGTTTTTTGAAAGTATATAAGTTCTTCCTCAGTCGCCTGGCCCGGGGTGCCACCTTCTGCAACTGCCATGGCTCAGTACAAGGGTGCCGCCAGTGAGGCGGGCCGCGCCATGCATCTAATGAAGAAGCGGGAGAAGCAGCGGGAGCAAATGGAGCAGATGAAGCAGCGCATCACCGAGGAGAACATCGTGAAGTCCAACATCGACAAGAAATTCTCGGCTCACTATGACGCGGTAGAGGCTGAGCTCAAGTCCAGCACTGTGGGTCTGGTGACCCTGAACGACATGAAGGCCAAGCAGGAAGCGCTGGTGAAGGAGCGGGAGAAGCAGCTGGCCAAAAAGGAGCAATCCAAAGAACTTCAACTAAAGCTAGAGAAACTGCGAGAAAAAGAACGCAAGAAGGAAGAGAAGCGCAAGATCTCTAGCCTGTCCTTCACCTTGGATGAGGATGAGGAGGAAGAGGAAGATGCGGATGAGGACAATCTACAAGGGGAAGGCAGTGTAGACATGAGCAAGAAGAGGCATGGCTCCTGCCTTCAGAGAGTCAGCAGTCTGAGTGGAGAAGCAGTCCCTTCAAAGAAGAGAAAATTGGGAAAGAACCCAGATGTGGACACAAGCTTTCTTCCTGACCGTGACCGAGAGGAAGAGGAAAATAGGCTCCGAGAAGAGCTTCGGCAGGAATGGGAGGCCAAGCAGGAGAAGATCAAGAGTGAAGAAATTGAAATCACGTTTAGTTACTGGGATGGCTCTGGGCACCGAAGGACCGTGAAGATGAAGAAGGGGAACACGATGCAGCAGTTCCTGCAGAAGGCCCTGGAAATCCTGCGGAAAGACTTTAGTGAGCTGAGGTCAGCGGGAGTGGAGCAGCTCATGTACATCAAAGAGGATCTGATCATACCTCACCATCACAGCTTCTATGACTTCATCGTCACCAAAGCCAGAGGGAAGAGTGGCCCACTCTTTAACTTTGACGTCCATGATGATGTTCGGCTGCTCAGTGATGCCACGGTAGAGAAGGATGAGTCACATGCGGGAAAGGTGGTGCTGAGGAGTTGGTATGAGAAGAACAAGCATATTTTCCCAGCCAGCCGCTGGGAGCCCTATGACCCAGAGAAAAAGTGGGACAAGTACACCATCCGTTGAGCACCTGTGAAAGACAGCCCGTGATCTTTGTCACCTCACCTCTCCTCCGTCCCCACCTACCCACCCATACATTCTTTCTTTCTTTGTGAGGCCTGACAGAATTAGCAGCTGACATCCTTCCTTCATCCTCTCTCCTTCCCTCCCTCGTTGTGGGGCTTCACCCTTCCCCCTGGTTTTCTACATGTATCTGGTCCCCTAGGTCCGCACATCCCACTGAGAAGCAGACCCTGGGACTGGCACAGACTGGGTGGGACTGTGGCAGAATTGGTTCCTGGATTTCTACTCCTAATTCTACCGTTATTTACATGTTTCTCATCTTAGGATAAATAAACTTTTGCATGGAAAAAAATATATAATAAATGCAAATTAATTCCAAAACTGTCCTGCTTAAACCATGTCTCCCTGAGTTCCTTCTGTTCTCTTTTGTTCATTTAAAAGTGTTTCATTGAAATTTTTTTTACATCACCAGCACTAGTCCCACTTATTCCCCCAATTCTTCTCCCTTCCCCCTAAAAAACCAGCCCTTCCGTTATGACAAATAAGCATAGTCCTACAAAACAAAGCCATCCATTGCCCATGTCTGTAAACATATTTCATTCTACACCTTTAGCGCCCTTTTATCATCAGTCTTTAGGAATTGTGGTTGGTAGTCATAGTAGTAAGAGTTCTTAAATCTTTGGGAATTTTTTTTCTTTATAGTGTTGTAGTCATTGTATGAATTGTTCTCATGGTTCCTGCTCACTTCATTGTGTACCTGTTCATTTATGCAGGTCTTTAGGTTTCTTTGAATCTGTCTCTTCTGGCATTTTTTCCAGTACAGTACTATTCCATTGCCATCATAAACTGTAATTTATTCAGCCATTCCCCAAATAATGACCGGCCACTTTATTTCTAAATTCTTACTACAACAGAAAGTAAATAGTTTTCTATATATGGGTTTGTATCCTTTTTCTTTGATCATTTTGGAGTATATACCTACAAGGAGTATCGCTGGGTTAAAGGGTATGCATGGCTTAGTAACTTCCAAATTGCTTTCTAGAATGACTGGGCCAGTCCCAGCTCTACCGTGAGCTAGACCGGAGCGCTGCTGTGCCTGTCCTCCCTATTTGCTGCCCTGTGAGTGGCAGTTGGCAGATGGTGGAGATGGCTGGCCCCTTCTCCACAGGAGTTGTTTCCCTGGATGATGGCTGGACTAGAGGCAGGGCAGGTGGTCTGTGTGATGCTGCCACTCCTAGGGCTCCTGAGTTCCTTTGCCTTTTGCTGGCAGTTGGTCAGTAGGGATGTGGAGGATGCTGAGCTGACCTTCTCTCCTCCTGGGGCTTCCAGTGCTTGAGGTGTGCGTAGCTGGGTCCTGATTCCCTGCAGAGTAATATTGGGGGACACAGGTCAGGGGTGGGGCTTGGCTTCAAGAACCCGATTAATAGAGATGATGCTGGCTTGCAATCCCCCTACTCAAGCCTTTGGTTAACTTCTGGTCTGTTTGCTCACTGCCTTTCCTGGTGGGGTTCTCTCTACCTTTACTACTTTCTTCTCCCAGGTCTTGCTTTTTTTCATCTACAGAAGTAGAGGGAATGATTTCTAAGGTCCTTTCCAATTATAACTTCCTATTTTTCTGTGACATTTATAGGTTACCAGTGGGCTGCAGCTGATCCTTTGAGAATCATCGGTATAGGCAAGGACAGAAGAGTTTGAGTAGGGTTGTTTTCCCCACCAAAAGAAATCTGACAAGGAGAGGGTTTCCAAAGGGGCATTTTAGTAAACATTTATTAAGAACCTTCTGTGCGTAGAGCACCATAGTAGGTGCAGGGGATAGATCCAAGGATTACATAAAGGCAGAGCCTCTGCCACACAGACACACAGACACACACACACACACCGACACACACACACACACACACACACACACACACACACACACACACACACACACACACACACACGGTGTGAACCAAGGCCTAGGTAGGGCCTGAAGAAGAAAAGATTACTACTGCCTGGGACTGGGCTGGGGTATTGGGAGAAGCTTCAGGCATTTGGACTGGGCCTTAAAGTTGGGTAGAATTCCATAGGCAAATATGTTAGAGAGGGCATTCCCAGGATAAAAGATGGCCTAAACATCACTCCTGGATGGCATGGAGATGGGATGCTATGGGAAGTGTAAGGAGCACAGTGAGTTTGACTGTTCGGACCTGTGTGAGATAAGGCTGAACAGGTGGTGCCACATTATAAAGAGCCTTCCCTGTTAGCCAAAGTGAGGACACTCAGCTTCTCTTGGTAGTCAATAATGAGTGGATGAATCAAAAAATGAAGTGCTTTCTACATGTCAAGCACGGTGCTTGAGGATACAGATGCAGAAAGCAAGATAAGGTTACATCTTGATGAAGAAAGTAGGGGCCCAGCAGGGTGTTTGGTAAGGAACTTACAGGAATATCTGTGGGCAATTGATTGATATGTTCTTCTAGAGATGCTTTGATTATATAGTTACAGGGTAAAAAAGGCATATGTTTGTATAGAGGAGAGAGGGAAAGTCCAGGATCACATAGATATGTTGAACCCTAAGCAGTCAAGCAATTCACTTAGTAATGGGCTAAAAGGACTTTTTTTCTACCCCATTGAATAACTTTTTTTCACTTTTAGTTTTAATTATGTTTTTTGTTTTTGCATTATATACATTTACAGATTATTCTCACTTTGTGAGAAGTCTCATAAAAATGTAAAATAAAGTAGAACTAAAAATATAGTAAAATCACCTGAAAGTATTTGCAACATATCACCTTTGTTGCATCTCTTCTACCTTTCTATTTTTTTTTCAAATGAACAGAAATCTATTTTATCTCCCTGCCAAACCTCTGTGGAAAAAAAGGAAAGGAAAAAAAAAACATTTTTACAAGACATATGAATAGTCAAACAAAAAAATTACCCCCAATGGCTATACAAAAAATATATAAATAAATAAATAAATAAATAAATATATGTATATATATATATATAGATAGATAGATAGGTAGATAGATAGATAGATAGATAGATAGATAGATAGATAGGTATAGATATGTCTCATTCTTCCCCAGACCTGTCATTCCTCTGTCATAGGTGCCATGTTTATCATTGGTCCTGTAGAATCATGAATGGTCATTGTATGGCTCATAGTTCTTACAGCTTTTAAAATTGTTTGTTTATAGTGTTGTTATTGTATAAATTGTTCTGTTCATTTCTTTATCCATTTATGAAAATTCTCAAAATTATTCATTTTTATCATTTTTATTTTATAGTATAAATTCTTCTCCTGGTTCTGCTCACTTCATTCCCCACTGTAAAGAACATAATGGGTGAAGAGTCTGGGCTTTGAGCTCCTGCCTTCTTGATGTTGCCAGAGTCATCAAAAATGGAGAGCAGGTCTTCAGTCCTGCAGAAATTAGCGCTAATTCTTGGTTCAATTTACGTAAAGGAACCAGGGATCCTTTCCTGAAACCTCTGGCCAATCCATTTGAACACATTTTCTTCCTGGCCTGGTCCAGGTAGATAACTCTGGGAGCCACTGGCTTGATTTTATGGGAATACCACCCCAACCCCGTTTCGTCTGTTTGCCTAGTCTACGTCTATGTTGTTTGACATTCTCATTTCTCTCTTTCTGTGTCGTGCTGTCTCTCTCTTCCTATCTCTTTCAATCCCCTCTCTCTCCACCCCCCTCTCCCCTCCATTCCCTTGTGATTTTCTCAGGGCTGGGCTTCAACATCGTTGGAGGGACAGATCAACAGTATGTATCCAATGACACTGGCATCTACGTCAGCCGAATCAAAGAGGATGGGGCTGCGGCCCAGGATGGGCGGCTCCAGGAGGGTGATAAGATCCTCTCGGTGAGAACTGGTTTTCACCTTCACGTCCTCTGTCTCCTAAGCCTTAACACCCTATCTCTTTTTTTAGAAGAATTCTTTCTGCTGGAAACACATCATAGAACTGACCTTAAGAGTCCTCGATATCATCTAGTTTAACCCTTGTCTTTATTTATTCTTTTTTTTTTGGTTAGGCAGTTGGGGTTAAGTGACTTGCCCAGGGTCACACAGCTAGTAAGTGTCAAGTGTTTGGTCTGAGGCTGGATATGAACTCGGGTCCTCCTGACTTCAGGGCTGGTGCTCTATCCACTGCGCCACCTTGCTGCCCCCAATCCTTGTCTTTAAACAAGTAAGGTGGGGGTCCTTTTTTTTTTTTTTAAGTCGAGTATTATTGACCCAATTATCTGGGGCAAACAGGTTAAGTGATTTGCCGGTGGTCAATACAGCTAATAAGCAAGATGTAGGAAGGGAGAGTAGATAAAAGAGTTTCAGTCAAAATGGCAAAGAATCCAGGACTCTAGCCTCATACTACAAGGTTTTTTCTGCTCTGACACTGCTTCCCTTTTAGTAGTTGAGATCCCAATACTTTGATCCTACTTTGGTGGTTGCCCCCTTATCATTAGATTTGTGTCTTACCTGAGGCCCTTTTTCTGTGTAGCTTTTGGAGTTAGTTACTTTTTCAGCTGCAGAACCTGTTCTTAGGTACTTAGGTAGGACCCCAACCATGACACTATGAAATGCAAAAATAGGATATGTAGAATTGTTGGTAAGAATTATGTAGTTAGCAGAGGCCCTGAAAAAATTAGTAATGGGCCTTAAAGGAATCAGACTGTCAGTAAGTGAATTTCCATAGCTACTGAAAATGAAACAGAAAACACTTGGTCCTTCAGGCTAGTCATGGTCATTGCTCTGATATATGTGTATACAGATGTATGTGTATGTGTATGTATATATGTGTGCGTGTGTATCTGTGTGTATATACACCCACATATACAAACATATAGATGTATAGGGAGGACTGGAGAAAATAGTGTTCACATTTTCTTTCTTTGTTTTCAGGCTATGCTCAGGATAGATAACTATCAATATACACATATCTGATAGGAAAAGTGGACGTAATAATAATAATAATTAGTAGGGTGGTCTTAAGGGCAGCTAAGTGATGCAGTGAATTCAGTGCTGGCTCTGTAGTCAGGATGATCTGAGTTCAAATCTGGCCTCAGATACTTACTAGCTTTGTGACCCTGGGCAAGTCACCCAATCCCAATTGCCTCAGTTTCTTCATCTGTAAAATGAGCTGAAGAAGGAAATGGCAAACCACTTCCATTTCTTTGCCAAGAAAACCCCAAATGAGTTGGACGTGACTAATTGACTGTGCAACAGCAAAGGGAGGTTTAAAGACCTGAAATAGACTGAAGAGGAATGTGGAATGGATCATAGGACAGGCCCTTCAGTTCACCAGATCAGAGATCTAGAAGTGGAAGGCAGCTCACAGTTCCTAGTTCAGCCCTTTCGCTTCACAGGTGAAGAACTTGAGGAGGCTGAAAGACTGACCCAGAGCT